AGTACTAGCAATACAAAGTATTAGTTCTATATCAATAAAAACTTTATTGAATTGGTACTAACTTAAGAATCTTAATTTAGAGTGAAGGTCAAAATTCAAATCTTGGTGATACTAAGTAATTATCCCTTTGATGTATAAAAAAACTGTATTAATGCTATCATGCTATCTCTTCCCCAAATTTACTTTCCATGTTTTGATTTTTTTTTTTTTTTTTGAAAATGGCTGCTGTATGAGTGCTTTATGGTTTTAAAATTCTGCTGTATGTAGTTTTACTTTTGTAGAAGGGTTGGAGTACCCTTTGTATTCCATATAATTTTAATATATTTATTTTGCTTATAAAAAAAAAAAAAAAAAAAACTTTCCATGTTAGAAAAGAAATAAAAGGGTAAAGGACTGAACATATATCTCATCCAAGGTTTTGTGTAAGTATTAGAGGCAGAAAATGAAAGTTGAGCTTGCACTTGCCTTACAAAAGAGGTTAATGTGTCAGAAAGACAAATTATGTCTTAATTTTAGGTGTTCCAAAGACAAAAAGAAGACACGTGTTTTGTCCTGCTTGGCTGTCCAGTAATATTGACAAGAAAAAAAAAATTGTAGACATTGCACTAGCTAGCAATAATATGCATGATCATATCATATGAGAATTGAGTGGTCTATTCCCCTTCTCAATCTGAGATTCTATGAATAAAGGAAAACGGAAACTATAGGTTTTACCATTTATTGGATATACCCTCTGCCAATGGGACCTTAGCTCAAAAGGTAGAATAGGTTTAAAGGCTGAAGCCCACAAGAAGTTGTAGGTTTGAGTCTCGTGTATGTCAGTTTTCGTTTAAATTTTCCTTGCTTCGTTTGTTTCTTTGTACTTGGTTAAATGTCAAATATAGTCCTTAAATTTTTCATTTTGAATAATTTTAGTTTTGAAATTATTTTTTATACTTTTTTTATCCCTCAACTATGAAAAATATAAGTTTTTGATCTTTTCATCAGTTTTATCTATTAAGTTTACACAACTAATAGTTTTTTGGTCCTTAAATTTTTGTTTTATGTACATTTTTTTGTCTCTAAACTATTATTTATTGCATTTTTTTTTTTAATTGCAAAGATTGTGTCTTACTATTATTAGGAATATGAGGGGTACTCCAACCCTTAGACAATGTATTCTTATCATCTCAAATTAAATTTTGATCTATGGGCAATATATAATCTAGATGAATCCCTCATATCTATTGCACTGTACTCCTCCTATCCAAATTGTTCCTTTCTCAGTGCAGTTTAAATGCCACCATTCCTCATATATGGACGAGGCTCTAGCAACCAATCAGTAAGACTCAAGCAGCGTCCTTCCTCGTTTGCTTTCAACCACTCAAATGATCTAATTTGTTGCTTGTTTTTAGTTTCTGAACTTTTGTTTTATGCATATTCAAATCATTAAAGAAAAGGTTCAATGTCAATTGTAGCATCCAAACTTTTAATTTTGAATATTTTTAGTTCCTAAACTATTTTTGTATTTTTTTAGTTCTTTTATTTATTAGTCCATTAAATCTGTCTATATATATACACATTTTTAGTCTTTAAACTTATGAGTTTAAGAACTAAAAATGTACATATATTATAAGTTTAGAGATTAAAAAAAAATACATAAATAAATTTAACAAACTTATTGACTAATGAACTAAAAAAGTGTATTTTTTAAAGTTCATGAACAAAAATACAAAAAATAATTTAGAAATAAAAAATAATTCAAAAATTGAAAATGTCTAAAATAAATGCTCAGGAACTAAAATTGACATTCAACCTTAAAAGAATTTAAAAAAAATACAAACCGAGATAAACTTAATAGACAAAACTGCTGTAGAATGATAAAAAAAAATGCACATTTAATAGTTGAAGGGTTAAAATGTAAAAATAAAAATCAGCTTGTTTAAAATTGTAAGTTAAGAGTGACATTTAACCTTTGTATTTTGGTAGTTTCTACACTATCAAATTGTGTTGTATTCGAACACCGTACGTAATCGTTGCAATTTGGATATAACTATAGGGCCCACATTTGAAACTTTGGAGACCCTTTGATTGCATTTTGGATATAACTATAGGGCCCACATTGCCCTTGATCCAAACCAATCTTTTGAAAGAAGCTTTTGTTTATGTGGTGGGCAACCAACGTCCCAATCTGCCCCCTTTGCTCAACTTTTAATTAATAGTCATTCCGTCTCGAAATAATAAATATTTTTTATTAAAAATTCATTTTAAAAATTATAGTTATTTGTTTTATATTTTAAGAGAAGACATATTTTTTTTTGAATTTAATATTATTATTTTTATCTTTTGATTTTAGTTATATATTTTATCACGATTTAATTCTCATTATTTTTATTTTTTTAAAATAATATAAATAAAAATAAAAATTATTCTTAAAGTCTTTATTTAAAAATAAAATAAAATAATTTATAATTTTAAGAGAAAAGGAATAATTTTCACGCACAAACCTTCAATATTAATTGTCACACTTAACCGGATAGGATTGTTACAATATTATCCGTTCCCAAGAACTGGAGTCTCCCTGTTTTTGTGGAAATAGTTATCTTAATTTTGTGTAAGCTAAAGAAGAACACTAAGAACATATTTGGTGAAATTTGTAAGAGTTTTTTTTTTTTTTTTACTGTTTATGAGTGATAAGTTTAAATTTTTATGAGAGGAAAAATTTATGAGAGGAAAAATTTAAAAATTATTTTTAGAAATAGAAAAAAATAGGCAAAGAGTAAGTAAAAAGGAAGTTTAATAAAAATACAAGTTTGAAACTTTTCAAAATTTCCTGTTTAAAATTTTTTTTAAGATTAAAATAAATTAAAAAATATAAATTTTTAAAAGAAAAATTTTAATTTATGAAACATAAATAGTATAAAAAAATTGAAACTCTTACAAGTTTTACCAAATATGCTCTAACAAAATTTCATGCTAGAGAATACCCTTCTCCAGTCCCTCCCCGACACATATAACTTAATCAATTTCTATGCTTATAGGATTAAGTTTACCTTGTTTAGTTAAAGATAAGCTATTCATGTCGAGATAAGAAGATTTATGAGTAATTTATCAAAACATGATCACTCCAATATTAAACCCTAATAAATCCAGTTAATTCTGCATGTGAACATTTAGCATTCTAGACAGCTTTCAGCCTAACTTATCCACGCACATAACCGAACTTAGTTTTTCTGCAGTTGCTTTATTTTTTTAGAAGTTAAAAAATTATTAAAAAAATGAAGAAAAGTTTATGACTTGTGATACTTTAGAAGTGAAATGATTCTTAAGCTAACGCAGCAGTGCACCACAAGAAATATTAATTAATACTTTAATATAATTAATCAATACAAAATATTATTAATTAATAAGTAAACATCTATCATTGTGCATCCAATTAGAGGCTGGTGTTTTAGATATTACTTGTATCACAATATTTGCAATTAAATGAAGAAAGAAAATTATTTTGAAACTTATAAATTATAAGTTATTATGTGTGTACCCTCACATACTTAAATATTATTTGTTAATTAAAATCATGTATGAATTATTTTCCTTGTATATATACATACGTATACGCACACATGATTCCAGAAAACTTGCAAAACTATCGTTGCCACGTATTAATCCAACATTCTGATGATTGATGATTGTGATGTATCTCATATAATAACGATCATTATTAATTAACCCTAGATAGAGCTTTTGATTAATTAAAGTATTAAGAATCCTGATACTTGGTTTCTGCTTTGTGTTATTAAAATTATCTTCGATTGTCAAAACAAAAAAAAATTAATTAATTAATTAATTAAATTAAATTAAATTTTTCTTGGTTGTATAATTTAGGAATGGGGATATGCGAAGTTCCATCTAGTGATCCTTCCTATTTATTATAGAGGCATATGGAGAATGGATTCTCCTGCAGGTCTTTTGAAAATTAACCTGCAGAAAGATTCCCCACCCGTCTTGGGCCTTTTTTTTTTTTCCTCTTTTTTTCTTATATTATTGTTATAAAAAAATTCATGAAAATTTATATTCCAAACATATATATTCCAATGAATCAAACCTTTTGGCTAGTAGATCGACCCCAAGAAAATTTCCCATACAACATGTGTTACATTATTACATAAAAAAATAATAATTGAATTTTATAAAATAGACGAAATGGATCAATATTTTTATGTTGGTGTTCAGGGGATTTTCTGCCGTCCTTTAAGAGTTCGTATAAAATGTTTTTATTGTGCAATTGTGTTGGCTACTTTGATGATTGTAGATAGATTTGAGGGAGCATGGAAAATTCAAACACATTTTACATCAACACGATTAATATCTATTTCAAATCACTTAATTTGATTGACGATGTATAACTTTATTGAAAAACACGAAAAAATGCATAAGAATTGTATGAAAACAGGTGGATTGGCTTACTCCATTAAAAATCTAGGCAAGTGACTGATGACCCTCAATCCTTACGTCATACTTTAGACTCATAGTTCTATGTGACATACCAGGCTTGATTACTAAATAATATAGAAACCGAGCCTTGTCTTTCACGTGAGACTGGGAGACAAAATTTTAAGGTTGCAAAGAAAATATTTTGCAAAAAATTCAATAATTGGTAGCATATGATTGATTGTTCTCAAAATCATGTCAAATTCAAATTATGTTTTAAAGAGTGCTATGACACAAAGGGATGGATCAACTAACAATCTATGGGAAAAAGAAATACCCTAGAAGCTTAGGTAACAAACTTACCAGTACTCTGATTTCATCTATGGTACATTGATGAGACTGACACACAGATGGAATGATGGAATTCACAACGTTATCATCTCAAAGATATGACATTCAACAGGTTATGAGACTGCGCAAATCAAGGTAAAAATGCAATTTAAGAGGGCCACTCTCTCCACCTAGTGGTGCTTTGTTCTGTGACTAACCAAAACGGTTCGCGGGTGTCTGCAGGATTAGTTGAACCAAAACTCTGAATGCAAATTTTATCCCAAAGAAAAAAAAAAAAATCAACAAAAATGGCTTCTTTCATGCCAATGTACAAGTACACTTACACAGCTTATGCATAACAGGTGATCCAAACACCCCAGAATGTCCAAGCGGAGACAACAACATTATTTAAGATGGCAGGATAAACTCATGCCAAAAGGATTCGGAGATCGCATTTCAAATTAGAAGCAAAATCCTCAAGTCACATCCCTAGACCCTAAAGAAAGTTCTTTATGCATGTTTTTCTACCCAAATTCTGTGCTAGTCAATTATAATAACGTGATCTACATGACAAAATACCATCATGCAAGTCGACAATATAATGGCCCCTAAAACAACAATCATTCAGCATAGCCTTGTCATAATAATTATGTAAAGCTAACAACAGAAGTCCAGCCCTCAATGTTGATGTTAGCCCATTAGGAGTCATCTACAATCAAATCACAAGGTTATAGAACCTTAGTAGTCCCACATTGTCTTGTCTCTCTTCTCTCTCAAGTTCACGTAACAAACTGACAATCCATCTAAGTGATGTAAAAATAAATAAGTAAATAATAAATAATAATAAATAATAAAAATATCACAAATGCAAAATTTTTAAGATTAACATCTGCCTTCACACACTTCAGGTACTTGATGAATGCCAAAAATTACAGTAGAGAAGGCAAGGAGGATGGTAACAAAAAAGCAGAAGCAGAGAAATGAGAAATCTACTACCAATATAATTAATTTCTTACTGAACACACCCTTTAAAGTTTAAATCATAGTTCAGCTGGCCTTTCGGAAAGCTTGTCTTCAAACCAGTAAAATGATCGCATTTCATTGAACAAGACACCTTCTCCCTCATTATACCAGGCACCTGTTTCATATTTCTACAATTGATATCCTTATAGACCAATTGAAAAATATGTCATTCATTCAACTAAATACTCCTTTAGTCCTTTTATCATGTGCACATTTCATCCAACTGTTTCTCTGTGACTTCCCACCACTTCAGACCAGAAGGCTTGATCATCTTTGTGAAAATCTCAAAGATTATCTCTCTAAGGCTTCGTTTGACATGATAATGCTTTACACACATCTTTGTACGCAACATCTTATCTAAAAATTTAAATTTATTATTTTAATTATTTTTAATTAATGTTTTCTGTATTTTTACTAATTTTAATTAATATGTCATATATTCTTGAGATAGTAAAAGACAAAAAAACCTACAGCCACAGCCTCCATACAAAACAGCACAGCACTCCCAAAAGAAGAGTATATTAGGTTTGCCAAGCATACAAAAATGTGTCTGATTCTTATCAATGATACTTTTTAACACTGTGAAAGATGCAAGTAATACTAATGAATGTTGCCACAGAATTAAAGGAGTCTATTTAATCTTTAAGATTCTTCTTAGAAACAGTATTTAATCATTTGATACACAGTTTGTTCTTCCATGGAAGTGCTTAAGACACCATTCCAGAATAGAAACATATGTGTTGCCTTTGTATTCTACCATTCTTCAAATTTAGAGGACTCTTTTTGATTTCAAATTCACATTCTCAATTCCATGGCAGTATTCAAATAGATATTTCAATGCTTTTAAGAGTGGTTTTTGAAAAGCAAAAAAGTGTACTTTCAATTATCCATCATCACAATACCACCTTAAATTGATATTTTTTTAACTCTAATATTGGACTCCACAATCATTGTGACAAATTACTGCTGATAAGAATATTGTTACAAATTACCCAACAAATAAAATTCAAACCCACTCTCTGAACTTCAAGAATCTAAACCTAACAATAAGAAATTTACCTCACTGGAACCTTACTGAATCCTCCAAATTGACATTATCATTTCATCTACATATGAGTTCCCAATAACCTAAAACATAGAACTAAAATCCCTGTCTTCCAATTTCAAAATGAATCATAATATTTTGATGATAGTGTAGAGAGATAAAAACAATTACATGATTATGCAAGATGCAATTAAAACATTTTCAGAGAATAAATACTTCTGTTGTGGCATCATAATTTGATTGATCACATGAAATTTAGCAGATGAATGAATAAATACAAAATTCTATTAGAGAAGGCACTCACATGGTGATGCATTAATCTATGCCGACGAACAGTTTCTGTTTGTTCTCAGTCCACCAACCTGATTAATGTTCTTCACCATGCAAATGACGCGTGATATAAAGCATTAAGAGCTAGAAGTCTAATGGAGGAGAAATATAATCCCTGAAGCTGGTATAATCTGGAGTTTCAATCTTTTGAAACCCGAACAACCATACCACTTGGTGTATGAACAGTTTTAAGGTGACCAGATCCAATCAAGTCTCGAAGGTGAAATCTCATATCAAGAGAAGATAATCTAAGATGCTTCTTTTCCAAAGTGGCCAACATCATCTCTTTATATTTTCTGCGGTTTAAAAATGACAGAAGTTCCTTTCTTCCCTGAGTAGAGTAAATGAAAAAATTACAAAGAATGATGATTGTGAAGACAACAAATCATTAGAAATAAAATACTGATTGCATAAAATAAATAAAAAATCAGATATTATGTCCACAGGACTAAACAACAGACATGCTCGAGAGATTATTTGAAGTATTTGATGAAAATCTAATAAAATGCATACACGCTATTATATGCAGATTATTATGTTTTAATATTTTCAATTGGGTCAAAGCTTTAGGTCTAAAGGAGCATAACCTGAATTGGGGAAATATAATTACATAATATATACAATTTTTATTTAAGCAACACATTGCATGCACGTACATTCATTAACATATGTACATAGATAGGCATGTTTAAAAGAAAAAAATGTTGGTAATATCACAACAAAATAGATAGTTCCAACAACTGACTGCTGAACATGTATACCTGTGTGAGGCCTTTTAGCAATGATCCAATATTTGGGATTGCAAACCAATACATATTTGGATCAATCAATTGCCGTGTCTAAAAGGAAAATGCCAGTGTTAAAAAAAGAACAGAGTGAGAAAAGATAAAAGAGAATGCAATTACATGGGTACAAATGAAAGAATGAAAAGGTAAACAAACATTCATATGCATTCAACTAGATACCATACAAAATAAGCAACAAATGTGTATACACGCAGGCATTAGTGACTTTGCATCCTGATCCCTAATTAACCCATCAATTCTTTCATGATTGCATTAAACAATAAAATTAGTCCTGAGGACACCATGTTACTGAGAGTATGATGTACTGACACAAATAGCCATACAGTATGTTGCTTTCAATCAAGTAAATTTGGAAACAAAAATCTAAAATATTACTTTGATATAAAATTCACTTACAAGAAGGCCAGCATTTATTAAAAGTGAAACATGTCTATCCTTCACCTGTCCCCCTAGTGATAAGAGTGAACACTACAAAAAGAGGCAATGTTGTGGATTAAAAATAAAAAAATGGATGCAAATACAGGAATACCCCAGCACATGCAGATATGCTAACATGTACAAATTATATATGTATTATCCCAAGCACATACAGCTAAAAAAGTGCAATTGAAGATGACATGGGACAAACACAGAAGATTTTTTCTATTCTAAAAGATATTTCAAATGTGATCTACAAGGACATGTCAAGAGATAGAAGAGTCCTGGTGTTTTGATACATTGTCACATAAAAGAACTATCTCTATCTGTGGCCAAAATGATACAAGAAGTTACATAAAGTCTGCTTGGGTTGGTTTGTTGTCATGCCTCAAAATGATAAGGAAGTGCCATCGAAAGAGATTCTTAAAAGGTTAAGCAATATGGTTCTCTACAATGATATCCCAAGAAAAATTAGGATTACATGGACCCTGTCTAATAAACAAAGATATACATATCAGCACAACACTAGCACTTAACAGAAGCAAAAGACAAATACAAGAATCCAAACTATAAATTAAATAGGACTGGGACTGACTAAGATCTACAGAATTTTGTATGCTCTTGACTACAACAGAAAATGTCTCTCAAGTGAAACCCAAACAGGATTCCATTATCAGAAAATTAGAAAGAATAAAAATCGTTAAAAAGGTTATATATACAGTATTGATACAGAGTTTTATTTGTGACATTAATGAATTAAGCTTATATAACAAAGGATTCCAAATAAATTAGAAAAACAAAAAGAAAGAATAAAGAGGAAAGATGACATAATTAACTTGTAACATAGTGAGTTAGTGACTCACAAGTTCTTGATGTCCAATACTAGGCTCCAGCTTGGATTCAACAACATGTGTGGTAAACCACTTAAAAACTTCCATATCACCTCGATCTTTTCCTTCCATTCTTTTGAAGACACGTTCTATCTGCACAAAAATAAAAAGATCATGGACAGAAGAAATCTATCAACATATGACCAATTCCTTAAAATTCATCTACTCTACCGCAACCTAACGTTAATATTGCAACAAACACTCCATACTCTAGCCATTCCAAAGCCCAATATTTTTATAAATGCTCACATATACAATCTGATTATGCTGATGGAATGATACTTTGTCATGCACATCTCTACACACATTAGACAACGAACCTGCTTTAAATAGTCATCCAAAAACATTATACCATGATCATCTTGTCCAGTGCTTAGCTTGAAAATGCGCAATACTTTCTCCCTCCTTAGAGACTACAGAGAAAATGTGCAATTCAACAAGGTTAGAACAAATAAATAAACAAATACTTCATTTTGGCTTAAACTAGTTTTTTTTTTTTAAAAAAAAAAATCACTTGTGAATCCCTCCTCCCCCCCAAAGCTTCTGTCTTGAACACATATTAAACAACTTTAATACAACTCATGAAGCTACATCAAAACTAATTTCCTTTAATTCATTTTCCATTTAATAGAAAAGCTAGTTTCCTTTAAAGTATACTACTTTCAACCAAACTTAAGCCCAACCAGAAATCAATACGACAGACCAATTTCGGATTATTGATAAAATGGAAACATAAAACACCTCTAATTCCCGGTCCACCTGTGTTCTGTCCTTCACACTGCTATACAATTGTGACTGCAAAACAAATGGCTGAATTGCAACCTGCGATAATGCAGAATCAACACATTCAAATTTAGTTAATCAGTGACGCTATCAAATAAAACTCTTTAAAAAAAAAAAAAAAAGATCATCATCCTTAAATACGATCCTGCCATCATTAAGAACAAAAGAGTACTGTTTTTCGGAATTTGAAAAGCAAATAGATGGTGAAAACATAAGAAAAAACGGTAATTGAAGACGAAATCAGAGAGCTGACCTTATCGAGATGAGGAAACTGAGCTCGCATAATGCGAAGCGCCATCAAGGTATCGCTAAAAGTAAGATTTTCCTCTGCAATAACAGTGGAATGAAAGGTGAATTGAATATCTATTATATAACCTAATTGATTCATTAAGAGAGTGAAATCCACCGAGAGAAAGAGAACGATCGGCATTGCTACTCCCAGTTTCGATCTCTTCTTCTTCTGCTTCTTCTTTTTCTTGTCTTGGGCGTTTTTTCCCTCTCTCCATGTCGTAATGTCGAGGAAACAGAGAAACTCCCGGTTAAGTATATTCAGAATCCGCGCGTTGCCGCCGCAGGTCTCGATGCTGGAAGTCTTGAACCCGATCGAGTTTGCTAACCCGGCCCAGTTCACCCAATGGCAAAAACCCTACTAAAGCCCCCAAACTTACCCCAAAATAGCATTTAAACTCCTAAATTAAAAAATGAAGCATATAAACCCTCCAATTCCACTAATAGTGCAAATAAGTCCTTCTCATTCATAGGTGTCCATGCTTTCAAGATGGTATTAAATATGAAATACCGTTTGGCCCTTTAGTGAGAAGAGTTATTTGCATCTTAAGTGAACTTAGAGGGCTCATCTACTTTATTTTTAGTTCAGG